AGGGTATGCTTCATTCCACGAGGGCCAGCTCCGGGGTGTTTCCGGAGGTTCACGAAAACGACGATGAAGAATCCGATGATGCGGGTAGGGGGCAGAAAGGCACTCACGCGAGGCGTTGAGAAGAATGACGCCAGGAAGGAGCGGTGTTTCGCGAACCAAGCTAGAAGCTTGCGAAGATATGAAGCCACCAATGATGAAATATTTTACGACTACAGAAGAGCTTTAAAAAAAATAGGAATTACTATATCTGTTGGGATATACGATCCGCCCTGGGATCCGCCCTAGGATCCTCCCCAACCTTTCTAGTCATGTGATCTAGCTTATATAATTTAGCATAGCTTAGTTAGTAAAGAGGTATTACCTCTTTATATCTGTAATACCACCTAAATACTAAGCATTAAGTCTATACTATATAGTAGAGAAGTGATCACGTTCTATATATTAACACCTGTGATACCAACAATATCTGACTTAAGGAGCGTGGATTATCAGAGCGGGATTTGGTTCCTCAACACCCTTATAGAGCTGGCTTTGATCAAAAGCGTGTTTTACATTTCTACCACCTGGAATATCATGTATAGTAATTATTCTATTTAATAACTTCCAATTACCATACAAATTCCATCTAGAGACATAGATCAGACACACCTCCCAATCCGCAAACGCCGAGATCCGACGTGGATGAAAGATCCACCAAGGCTCTATGCACAACAGCCTCGAATCTTGTATATTACGCTTGCTTACCACCTCTACCAGCGAGCTCACTACCAGCAACACCCAACTAATGGCTTCAAAGGCGACGAAAAAGTGTGGCACTGAAGCACTGACCGTAACGAGATCCAAACTCAATACAATGCAAAGCATGACCAGAACTGTTTGATCGACATCAATACCATACAGTACACCATTTAGAGCCCCGATGAGGACAAGCGTGTCCGGGGAAGATTGCAAGGTGAAACTGGAGTGCATCCGGGTCTCCTAAATCGAGCTAACCCCGCGATTATCAGAACAGCAAATCACAGCCACACTATATAAGTAATATTCACATAATTCTCCGGATTCAAACTTGGCTGGTTTTCAATCTCCATCTCCCTGTATCCCACATCTTTCTCCCTCCATCCTCTGTTACAATTCTTCCCAAGTCCCGCATCTAATCCTCGCGTATCTGTCAATCCCAACGTATCATTTTGAAATGCCAGGAACACATCGTTCTAGTCTTTTATTTTAGGAAATCTAACTTTTCTGTCTTCTTTCCATTCTCTAAACTGCATTTCCTTTGATGAGTGGCTTGGAAAGTTTATTGTCATTATCACACAAACAAAAAGGGTTCAAACAAGTTGTCATATCTTACTATTTCCAAACTCTTCACACTAGCTAGGTAACTCTGCCATCTATACATACTCGTTTTCAATAGGTCGTAATAGATTTATTGCACATCGGAATGCGTGGTTATTAACTCGTATACCAATAAGAAATTGTATTGCAACGACGAATATGCCAACCATGATTATAGGTTCGTCCATCTTCTGCGACTCGAGTTAGATCTTGACTGATTGGGATAAACAAGAACTTACTCCCATGGTAATAAGATACCTAGATCAAGAAAGACCAGTTATAGTAAAATTGTGTCATTACTTGTCGTGGAAGTGTGGGCGCGAAGTTCGTCATAAAACAATGCCCATGTTTACGTACACCATCCCCACCCATCCGGTCTGCTCACTTGCTAACTCCCTGATTTTGAAACGTTAAAACCAGCCAGATGAAAAGTCAAGTCTGTGGACTCTAGTGAAGTCAATATTCAAGCTCAAATGCCCCGAGGAGGAAACACAAGCAAAACGTGACAAATTGGCTCAAACATATCGAGACCACAGGCCAGACATGCAATTTCGTCTAGCAAGATGAATGATTTGTTCAGGAGGGCCGATTGACGGAATCGAAGCGTGAGCTTGCATTCGAAAAACCGCGGTGGCTATTAGACGAATAATCTTCATATGGGCATTGAAGAAAACTCCATATGAGGCCCTCGACTCCAGTCAATGCTATTCAACCAGTCCCAATCGTTCATCTCGTCTACCATGTCTGTCCAAGTTAGCGTTTCATCTGCTGGCCACGAGGTTTCGTTTTCTCTTGGGGTTTCTTGTGATGGTGGAGGTTCAAAGACTTGGTCTAGCACGCGACGGATCACTTTTGCCATGCGTTCGCAGAGCTTGTAATTGCCTAATGCGGAAGGCTTGACCCATTCTAAGAAGCTGATCATGAGGCTGAGTATTTGGACTACGTCGGCCGTGGGCAATTTCTCGGCGGCGGGAATAGATTGTGGTTGTTGGGTCTGTTTGAGGAGGGATGCGCAGAGGATACCGGTCGAGGGCATGCCGTAGCACATTATCTATATTAGTTAGTACATATTGTTTAGTGATCGAAGTTACAGAATGGAATATCCAACATACGATGTAGTCATAATCGTAATGCCGTCCAACAGAACGATCTCGCTGCAGCCAGATGAAAACCGTCAAATCCGCAATTTCCCTTGCAACCTCCAGCAATCTTTGCTTGCCTTCATTCCCACGCTCATGAGACAGCCTCTCGAGTAAGAAATGTATCCGTAGATAATCGAGATGACCGAATAAGAATCTCCACATGAGGAAGTCGGATTCCATATCGACGAGACTCTCCTTGGTGACGTTGAGGACGCCTGGGACATGGGTGTAAATCTCATATGCCTTTTTCTTGAGAGCACTAATCCGATAATTAGTACCTCATTAGAAAGCCACTGCTAAACTAACCTGACACGATCCATTGAAAATTGCTCTTGATTACCGAAAATTAATTCCATGATTTCATCTTGCATTATCGCCGCGAGTGTCATCATCCTGGAGATTGTCGCGTTGTGCATCATGCCTTTCGTGTTCCAACCATGTTCATCAAGGGCGTTGAGTTCCGCCTGAAGAGTATCGCCGCCGGCTATTAGAGCCTCATCACTGATGTCTAAAGGAAGAGGACACGAGTGATACCGGCGGCTCAGAGCAGGGGGTCTGCCTGTAAACATGGCAATTTCTTTGTCGCTCCAAAAGCAATTCGCGCTTAGCTTTTTAGTCATTTCGGAATGTATTGTAACCTCTGAAGTTCCTTGATAGCAGTGTAGACCCAGAGCTGTGGACATCGCCACAAGATCGTGATGAAGCCGCCAAGCAGAGATAGCTGGAATTTAAGTTAGCGGTATTACTTTCCATTTTGGATAAGGAGGCGAACAGGAATCACCATGTATAACAGTTTCCAGCAGAAAGTTCTTATATAGAAGATTGCAAAGCAAAGTGCTGACAGCACTAGGCCCCTTCCGACAGATAGAAATGCAGCTTTCAATGCAGCCCTTCATCACAAGAAGGTACTTCTTTCTGTCCATTTTGAGCTCACTCTCTACAGAAAAGAGAATGTCCTTGTGGCTAAGCGATAATATACCATAAGTAAATGCACAGAACAAGATACCTACAGCTTCCCACCTGACATTTTCAGCGAACAATGTCTTCCACTCATCAGCTGCATCTGCGGTGCTAAGTGGAACATGAGTATTATTGGTAATCGATCTCGCTGTGACTAGGAGATCTTTTACTTCCAGTCTTTCGTCCCATATGTTGGGATACGAGGCCCGAAGTATCTGGAACATATTCATGACAATAGCTTGTGGGAAGCCAACCTCCCCCGAATTCGTCTCATACAGTCCCAGTAGCTTTTCACATAGGGGTAGGCTGGGTAGTTGCTTTAGCACATTGGCACCCATCTTGCAGTCTATTCCAGGAGTCTCAACATCATCATTGAAATCGAACTCGATATTTCTCAACGAATTTGTTGCTTCATGAATTGTAGCTGAAAAGCTAGTGGAGCCGAAGAACCCCGAACAGCTATAACCCCGTTCTGATGAAGAAGAACAACCATTACGCCATTTTGGTTTGCCCGGAAAAGGAGCTCCGACACGGGGACTTGAGGCATGGGGTTGGGCACGAGGGTTTGCTTTGGTGGAGGCTCGAGAGGATTGGCCTGCCATGGGGGCGTCAAGAAATATACAGATGTCTGGGGTCTGGCGTTTCCGGCATCTGGAACACACTAATTCTGTGGATGCGTGATTACAGCGTACTTTGGCCTTCCTACATGGCTCACATGCGGGTTGAAGTCCATTTCGGCGTCGTGTCAGGATACCGTCGGTATTGGATGTAGATCTTGATTGAGCCATTTTGGGGAGATATTACTAATTTTGAAAGTGAAACTTCATTAATCATATTACGAAGCAGGTTTCAGCTCGGCGTAGAGCATGAATATATGAGCGTAAGATTTGAATTTAGTTGTGGAAGGAAGGCAGCGGAAGTGAGTATCGTTGAAAAAGAAGTTCGGGGTAAGTGGGGTTCGTCTAAGATCTCGGTGCTCAAAACAGGGGTCTTCGGAGTAGTTTCGCACCTTCTATGATAAGACCAATTGATGTGAAAAGCCAATTTCAAAGAATCCTAAGTACTGTATTATATTTACTAATTCTTAGTCGAGTTTGCAAATATAGAACTTAAAACTTTTTATTCTTCCTTCTTATATTCCAGTCACATGACCTCCCCCAGGTAGTTGCTTTTCTTCCTCTGTATAGGCTGATTTTGGCACTTTGTAAGCAGTGACTTCAGTTTACAAGTGATTAACCATCCTAGTGCTTACTTTGCAGGTTTGAATCATTCAAAGCACAGACTTAACATGTCCAGAGTTTCTTCTAACAGCAAAATTCTTGTACTTTCCCACAATCGAGATCACTAGTACCCAGAATCCATCCAATGCTCGAATATGATGAACCATTTTATTCAATTACACTCCTCGGTTAGAAGACAAGCAGACTAACTTGTAGACGTTAAACCGCCCATGAACACAATGGCAGATATCATCCCTATCAATTAACCTCGCAACGCCAGCCAAAAACAAATACATCGCCAAGATCATGCTCATACATCCAATCCCCAGCTCAATTATATCCTTCAACCATCATTCTTGATCTGATCATTCGCAAACATTCCAGCTTGCTTCGCACCCAAAGCCTCCAGAACCTTATCCACAGTAGCCACGGCACCAAAAATCCCACCCTCAGCCTTCACAGACTCAACCGCATGAGCATGAAGAAGCTCCTCGCTCGCAGCCGACGCATCCTCCACGAGCAAGCAATCAAAGTTGTTATCGTTGGCCTCTCGCATCGTGCTATGCACGCAAACATCCGTGGTAACGCCACAAATGACCAAGTTCTTGATACCCCTGATATTCAACATGAGCTTGAAATCAGTATGCTGGAAAGCACTGCGGCCGGGCTTGTCGATGATTTGCTCACCCTCGAGGGGATACAGCTCAGGAATGATATCATGGCCTGATTCACCTCGAACAAGCAGCCGACCTAGGGGCCCTTTGTCGCCGATGCCGAGGCCGGAAGGGTTGTTCCTGCTGCGGGCTAATTCGCGTGCGGAAAGGGTGGAGAGGTCGGGACGGTGGCCTTCGCGGGTGTGGTAGATTGGGAAGTTGAGAGTGCGGAAGATGGTGAGGAGTTCTTTGATGCGTGGAATTACTGCGCGGGCTGGAGCGATGGAATAGCCTTGGTGAACCAAGTAGCCTTCGGAGGAGCAGACTGTAGGATAGTTAGTATTGAATGTTCTCGGGCACTCGGATTTCCAACAAAACGGCAATGATACAGTGAGATGAACTCTAAAAGAACAGTGGGAGTAGCTTCACATAAACAGTAATGTGAGTACTAAGAACATGCAACATACAAGTGAGATACATTTTACACTTGTGTAGCCCGCTAAGGCTAAGCATTGTCAAAGGATCAAATGAACTAGAATCAAAAGAACTAGAGGTACTCACAGTCCTTTTGCATATCAATGATGACAAGAGCAGTAGTCATGGGATTCATGCCGCCACTGATTGGCCAAGCATACGGAGTAGCATCGACTTGAGACCCCATCTTTGCAAATGATAGAGCGGTGATTATTGAAGGTGTCGAAGTTCTTTGTTCAAGGTCAAGACGTCTCGCTTGTTCTGCATTCAATTTTGTTGTCTTCCGTGGCCGGAAGATATCAAAGCATGTGAATAGATTCCAGTAGGGTGAAGGCCTTATCGATGGCTCCACCGCCTTCTCAGGGGGGTCGTCGTTGCTCATTTGGTGGAAGTGAACAAGCTTGGTGTTAGTGCGGTCATCATTGTCGATAGATTCCGAATAGTGGGATGAGCAGTTCATCTTGGATACAAAATTTGTGTTATCCACAAAATTATCGATGCCCTATATCAAACAAGGTGTGCGCAAATAATAGAAGGGTTATCAAGGAAGACACGAACAGCAGTCAGGGTCTTCTTAAGGAGAGCCATCGACGATTTGCTATGGTTGATAAACTCTTCCCGAAGCTTGCTGAGACATCGGGCAAGTGCGTTTGATCCTATCCATAATTTGACAAGATTTCCAACCCGCCCAAAATTAGGGAGCACAGAGTCCTGTGTAACAACTCGAGGGGAACAAGTCAATGGGGCCTATGCAAGATCCTGCAAAAGACTACACGCAATACCCCGGAGTTGCACACCGGGGAAGCCCAAATTCCTGGAAGGGTACATAGGGGTGGCTTAATGGCTTGTCTTTGTATTGCTTTGCCATGAGAAACGCAGGTCGATGTTGCACAAAGCAAGATGTGGTCTACATGTGTTCTAAACCCAGATGGCGCACAACACAGCGACTTCTGCGGCTTCCCGTGATCTGTCTCACTTGTACACCTCTACCGATCAGCAAAGGAGGTGCATAATCTAGCGTAGCACCAAGATTCGAACAAAGGGGAAGCCTTGGCCCTGCATTAGACTGGACTGGAATCCGGGGTAGATGCCGAATTATTGCATTTTTCCTCTCCCGAGTCCTCGCGCTTCTGCAAACGTGACGGTATAAAGCTATTCCGAGCCGACTCGCTTTTGGTGTAAGTACGGCTTGATCATAAGATCTGAATGTTCAGTGACATCCGTCTATGGGTGTAGCACTGCTGTCACCTTCTTGAGACTGTCTGGGCACAAAGTGTATACGAAGTCCGCCCCGAAATTCGGGACTTCAGCTCCAGGTCGAGGATAACCCCTCATCTTCTGTTCCATGGTATTTCAATTTCGCTTTTCCTCAAGCGTCATTACATCCCAAGCAAAGGATGGTTTGACGATATATGCATAATCTCGAACGACAGTGGTACAACAGAAAAGCCTCGTGGTGTCGGTGGCACCAGGACGTACTTGGCCGTGTCGTTCGACAAGGTCGAACGCGCGCGAGAGATATGAGCTTTGAGGTCAGAATAAGTAAAAAGATGATATCAGGGAGATGAATTGCTGAAACGTAATGGAAGATGCCAACAAAGATGTGTATGGTGGAGGTGGTCTAGATAAGCCGTTGCGCTAGCTTTCTTCGGAATACGACAGGACAGGCATAGCAATGGCAACCCCCCACTTCATCCCAACGCCAACTGCCACTCCACTCTTCACATTTTGAGAGACGGTATTGGTCAAGCATGGTCCTCGAAGTCTCTGGGAGAGAACTTATATATTTTGAACTCGTTATGGCAATTGCAATACTGTGGCGTTCGGGTATCTTATCTCCTATTGTGTTCTACGACCGTCTCTATAAAAGATAATGTCTCGCGGGGGGTGGAAAAGGCGGCACCACCGATTTATGAAACGCCAGGTGGCGAATAAATCGATGAGATTAAGTATCACTTGTTGTATTAGGCGGGTTATAATTGGCGACCCTCTTGTCGGGAGGGCCGCAGTTATAGTACGCAGCAATGATAGATAACCGAACTCTCTTGGGCCCTACGGAGTAAGTCAGGCACACTGCCGTCCATGCATCTGCCAGCCGTGCGTGAGCTTTGATAAGGCAGGCATGGTTATCTTGAAGCTCGGCGCGGCTACGTAAGATACCTCTCTATAAGAGTATATATCTTGCTTTGCCCCGTATGCAAGACAAGATTGTGTCTTTTTCATAGATTTCGAACTTTTCTGTTTCACCATGGCAGACTCCGAGAGAAAGGCCGTCCCTGGCGATGCTGAGGATACAACGCTGGAGCAGATGGGTTATCAGCAAGGTAAGCTCTTTTTACTTAGTCTCTGTCACTGGGAACTTTGTGAATTGTTACGAGATCGAACCAGAGCAGCTTTGTTCTTAGACATTTCCATTGCGTCAGTACCGTTTGGAAGGACTTTGTTCGAGATTCTGACGTATTTGGGAGTTTGCACGAGAACCGGCTCTTGACAGGGCCTCTTTGAGCCATGCTTCATATTGCGCTGCTGCACGACCGTTGAAACTTGTACGCTGACTTGTTACGCAGAGCTCAAGCGTGAGTTTAGCCTTTTAGGGATGGTACGTCTTATTCTCATACATGCCTGCTGAAATATCTGAGGGGAGCTCGGAGCTTGGATACTGTTGTAGGAGTTTATTCGTTGGCTCCGGAGACAGTTCCTAGGCTTCTCAGCTCTCCAAAGACTTCAACTTTTTACTAAGCTAATTCAAAGGTAGATTGGGTTCTCTTTCTCGATAGTAACATGGTACGTTGTGCTTCCTTACACCGCCGAGGTGATTAGAACGTGGCAAGTTTAGACGCTGATGGTACATTGCAGCTGGAGCGCCCTGGGAGGTGTCCTCGTCACTGGTGTTAATGCTGGAGGACCGCCGGTGATGATCTGGGGGTGGATTGGAATCAGCTGCGTTTCGCTATGCGTTGCCTACTCGATGGCGGAGATGTGTTCGGAGTACCCTGTCGCTGGTGGTCAATACTCATGGGTTTATATTTTGGCCCCGAAGAGCATACGCCGACAGTTTTCGTACCTCACCGGATGGTTCATGATCATCGGTAGGTTGTCTCGCAAAAGGGCCTGCTGACCTCTGCAATCCCCACGTTTACTGACTGAGACAGGCATTCTGGCAATGGGTGCCACAAACTCTTTCATCGGTGCGAACTTCATCCTGGGACAGGCGAACCTAGTCAACCCCAGTTACGAGATCGAGCGGTGGCACACCGTTCTTGTGGCATATTGTATAACATTGTTCGCCACTTTTGTCAATATGTGGGGCTCAAAAGTACTGGAAAAGATCTCCAAAGGAGCCTTGATTTTCAACATCGTCTCTTTCCTTGCGATTGTGATTACTATCCTTGCATGTAATGACCATAAACAATCGGCATCATTTGTTTTCAAAGACTTCCAAAATTTTACTGGCTTTAGTGCCTCGATGGCTGGAATTATTGGGATTCTTCAACCGGCTTTCGGCATGTGTTGCTGTAAGTGGAATGTCCCTTTCACGCACTATCTCAATTTAGTCCAAGGGGATATTCTTCGCATGAGACCTCCATCCGAGGGCATGTGTCGGATGTCAATATAGTGATGTACTGACAACCGTGTAGATGATGCCCCGGCACACATGTGTGAGGAACTAAAGGATGCTAGTAAGCAGGCTCCTCGAGCGATGATCTTCTCGGTTTACATCGGTGCACTCACTGGCTTTGTCTTCCTGGTTGCAGTCTGCTTTTGCATCGGAGATATCACTACGGTAGCAGATACCCCCACACTGGTCCCCTTGATCCAAATATTTTTCGACTCAACCAACAGCAACGTCGGGTCTTGTATTCTAGCCACGTTGATCGTGATCATCGACTTTGGCTGTGCTAATGCTCTGCTGGCGGAAGGAGCCCGGTCTTTGTACGCCTTTTCTCGCGATAATGGGCTTCCATTCTCGTCTTTAATTAGCAAGGTAGAATCAAAGCATCAAACTCCAGTTGTGGCGATTCTCCTCGGGACGGTGGTTCAGATGGCGTTCAACAGCATCTATTTCGGAACGGTCACCGGATTCAACACTGTGATTGCAATTGCAACTCAAGGCTTCTACTTGTCGTATGCCATGCCGTTGCTGGTTCGCCTCATCTCCTACTTCAGTGGCACCCACAGACAGCTCACTGGTCCATGGGCCATGAAGCCTCTGGTGTCTGTTGCAGTCAACTTTGTTGGCCTCACGTACCTACTGTTTGCTTGTATAACGTTCAACTTTCCATCGGTATATCCGGTCACCAGCGAGAATATGAATTATACATCTGCTGCAGTCGGGGTAATCATGCTGGTCGCTGCCATAACTTGGTTTGCTACGGCAAAGAAACGGTTCTCGGGGCCCGAGATTGAGGGGGTGATGGATATAGTTGCGGGCCATCATGGAAGCGATTCTGACGAGGTCAAAAGACCGGAGAAGGAATGAATCAGAATATATCAACCCGAGAGAATATTGGATAGGCGCCTCGCCAATGGGCTAGATCTATTTTGGTTGAGAACAGGTATCGGGGCGAGCCTACCGATCCGTAGAATATCTTAGCACCTCCGGAAACTGAATGTTTAATTATTTCTCCCTGATCTCATTCCAAATGTAGCTGTGTATCTCCTCTTTGACTATAAAGTAGCTAGCTGATGTTTCTGAAGTGGTCTTGTAGATTATTTGGAATGTTTGAATGTGGGAGGGAGAAACGTGTTGATCCGGATAATTACCTGGGTAGTAGAGCATGCATAGGCTGTGACGAGAAGAATACGAGTATTGTAATAAGAATATTGGTTGAAAGGAACGGGACGGGCCTCGCGGGCATACCTTTAAAGTTCCCTCACGAAGCGAAGGGAGACTTTCACGTGACCATAGCCCCGCCATTTTCCGCCCGGTTGCTTCAGCGATAAAGTGCAACCAGCAGGGGTCACTAATCTTAATCCTCTTGACGGTGAGCTTGGTTCAGGAGAAAGAACCATCAACACAACGCCAACAACTACGACAACACGCCCTTCCGACGGGATACGACAACGACGACGACTACGACCATACGGAAACCGAACCGACTACTACATCTACTAATAGAGCTATCCGCAAATAGCTTACTGCATATCTACGGCATCACGATACGGAACGATACAAACATTCACCGACCCACCGACCACCGAACACAACAAGTATACAGGTACAACGAGTGCGCGCGGGCATCAAATTACTTGCGCAACTACACCGCTATAGCAGCCCAGAGCCTGCAAGCCATCATTTGAGCGTGCTCATTACATCTAGGGAGAGGGTCTAGGAATACCCTCCTTAGCCTCTAGAGACCTTTTCGTAGGTGGACACCTGAGCAGATGCGATCCTGCGCATAGAAACCAAATCAACCACGACTATGGACGAACTACCATCATCTCCGTCGACAGACATGTCGAATCCGGAGACCGCGCTTGCATACTACAAATCGCAATATGAACAGCTAGAACACGAGTTGGCAGAGTTTCAGGCTTCCAGTCAGGAGTTGGAGGCGGAGCTGGAGAAAGATGTAGAGGCCGCGGAGAAGAGGGAACGCGTACTACAAGAGAAGGCAGAGGGCTTGGGGTTTGAGGTCGATGAGTGGAAGGTATGCGGTATCTGGGATTCTTGCTCTGCGACCTGGCCGGTGGCCTTTGATGAGATCGATCTATAACTAACATATCATAGACCAAATATAAACAATCGAAAATTGAAGCGGGAGCTGCACAAAATACTCTGCAGAAGGAGATCACCACACTTCGAGACCAAAATAGGACTTTGCAACATCGTTTGCGCGATATCGAAGTAGCAAATGATGATTTCGAACGACAAGCCAGGAATACATCCTCTTCGCTCGAAGATTTAGAGTCAAAATTTAATGTCTCTATTGAGCGAGCTGTCATGATGGAGGAGGAGATCAAGGTGGGCGAGCAAGAACGTGAGAATCTACGAATCGAAACACAACGCCTACGTGACGAGCTTGGAGATCTCAAGATCGAAGCCGAGATCATGCAAGACAAGCTTCGGAAACGCCAATTTGCTTCACTCGCCACAGATATCACCACGCCGAACTCTCCACCTTATGATCAAGGATCTCCAAGTTCTACAGCCTCATCACCAATGGTCACTACTCCTCTGGATACAAAATCAGTCTCAACTGCAGATACTGTATCCGAAGCGCCTACCCCACCATCTCCTCCGATGTCAGAATCCTCCACTACTACGAAACCAATCCTAAAGACCCCAATGAATCGACCAAAGAGCAAATTGAAGCTTCCTTCAGGGGATTCTAGCACAACGCCAAAGCCTGCAACATCACGACTTCAGTCAGGGAACTTCCGCACCTCACAGGGACTCACAGCCCCAACGACCGCAACCCGCACTAGAAATGCTACACCCTCTGTCATTAGGAATGCCAGATCGAAAGCACCGGCAACCCGCGGCATGCCAAATTCACAATCCCTTACACACATCCGAACACTCACAGCACAAATGCAAAAGCTGGAACAGCGTGTCCAATCTGCTCGATCCAAACTCCCAGCGCCCGTGAACACTCCTCCACGAGCGTCTCCCCGAAATGGCTCAGCAATGGGCCACAACCACATGCCAGCCAGCGTCACAATAAGGAGCAGGAAACGTACAATCGGCAGCACAGCTAGCGCATCCTCAGTAGCAACAGACGACACACCGGCTCAAAAACACGTCGCCCGACTCTCTACCTCAGGCATAAGCCGGCTCTCTTTTGGACCCCTTCCTAACCGCGAAAACAGCGAAAGTCGACCCAGTAGCCGCGCCAGCCAAAGCAGTTCGTTCGTACGTCCCGACCGGCCACTCTCCCGCTCAGAGATATCGCGGCCTGCTTCCCGAACCTCGATGAGCGGCTCCCGCACCCCGCTCGGCCATTACTCGCAGTCGCAAATTTCCGAGTCTCGGCGCCCGCGCTCTAGTATAGGCGGGAGCTATACTGCTTCCCATGGTAACGGTCACGGGCATTCGCAAAGCGTCTCAAATATCGATCTTGACGAGAACAGGGAGCTGGAATTCGCGTCGCCGGCCAAGGCGCCTTCAGCGCTGCCTCGGAGGAAGAGTGGGGGCGTGGCTACAATTACAAGACGTACGAGTAGTGGGACCCTTCCTGAGGGGGGGATGAAACCCCCGGGGAGACCTAGGAAGTTGAGTGGGGTGGGTGAGACTTATTAGGGAGCGAGGTACATATATTTGTAATGACACTGGCTTTGGATTGTACATGATTGATGGTTATGATGGCTGGCTGGGTTTGGCTTGGGTCTCAGCGAGGCGTTTTTTGGACTGGCGGTTGCATTGTGTTGCGGAGCTTAGGGTAACGGTGTGGTACTTTTAAGGTGAACGGATAGTAAGGTACGGATGGATGTGGGTGGATGCTTGCTTGAATGAGAATAATTTTGATTATGATTCCACTACTTTTACTGTGCATCCTGAGAGCTCTACCTCGTCTTTTTAGGACGAAGACCCTGTGAAACGTATGCTATCGTATGGCATGGAATCCTATCATTGAGTTTGACATTTTGTCTACTTTCGAAGGACGTGGACATGTCCACTCCGGATCCGGACTGAAAACTTACAAGGATATATTTATTTCACGATGCCAAATGATATAATTTACTCTGTACTACTACTCTTCCTGACACAGCTGTACTGATCTTTACTTTGTATTGTGGGACGAAAAGATACAAGTACAAGCTTCAGACCTGTCTGTATGACGCCAGCGCACCAATCACATGATATGCTGCCGCATTGGGAAGTTTGTTGCATGTCGGCATTTGGGAGGCCTTCCTTTGTCACCACTCGTTTGGCCGGCTGATGTGGATGTGGGCGGATGACGGGCCGGACTAAGAGAATGTCCGGTACTGTAAGGTTGTGTTGCGTTGCTACGGAAGTGGGGTTTTTGGGGTGGTTGTTTGATATTGTGGAATTCTATTGGATTGGAAGGATATCTTCTTTGCATGTGGGAAGGAAATATCTAAGGAGTTGTTTTAAAAGTTGATGCTGGCTGGTTCTGTGTCGGCGAGGCTGTTAACTAGTGTGGTGGTGGTGTTTTCCGTGTCAATACCGCAATCAAGGACGATAAATAGCAGACTTGGTGCTGAAAAGTCGATATATGGTGTAGACAGGTTATAGAAGTCTAGAGATTGTTGTTAAGACTCTAGATGGGGCTTCAACTGCAATTCGGGTATGCAAGGTAAGGTAGGTGACCTCTAATGGCTGACTTTGCTGACCACCAGTACCAATTTCAGACTTTACTGTACTTCAAAGACCTTGGCAGTGAGAAAGGGAACTAAATGATTGGTTGCACTTCGTGTCCAGAAAAAAGAAACTTGGTGGTTTTATGAGAAGTTGAAGTTCAAGTTATTCCTGAAGAAGATACTGTGTCTTTCTTATATCAATCGGACTTCCGAATTCGCATACTCCCTCCCTCTGAGCAGCTGCTGCAACCACGAAATAATTCTAGTGGGGCATGTAGTTCTCGAATGCAGGTGGCGGATCTTCTTCTCTTTGGTTGAAATCTTCTGCAAGTGTAAGAAAAGATAAGCTGATACAAGCCAGCACGCACTCATGCTCATGTCATGCAGCGAATGCAGTGTCAGCTTGAGACCATGATGGATTGGGCTTTGTATGGAATAGCATAGACAGAATATGACGCGTCTAGCAACGGAGCTATAGACTGAGAGAGCTCTTTAGAGCTGGCGGGAGTATGCTACCTGCCGCCTTGGGTGGACGAGGACTTTAATGCAATGGCGATCCAAATTTGAAAAATGATAACGCTGATAGCACTATTGGAGAGAAAATAAATGGAAATTAGAAGGCGATCCAGGAATCCAAGAACATGTTGTAATAGAGTTCTACTATTGATGCGGGTGAAGTCTAGTACATAGCAACACCTTATTCGTACTGCAAAGCTATCGATCTAAACACGTTGGGGCAGAGTATCTGGTGGAAGGAAGATGTAGATGTGATGCATCTTTAGTAGCGACGGGAGTGCCTGCAGGGATTGTGCAGAAAATCTATTGAACCCTGCGTCATTCGTTCGGTCGGGGTCTCTTAAAGGAGAGTCAAGTCTCAACATTCGGACTTGCACGTGTGGTATACATGGCCGTATATGTAAATGTAAATTGTTTATTATGTTACGACTCCTTATATGCAAATGCAAAATAGATTGGACATGTTCATCCGAAAGGACCCAGGACCCGTACAATGCCATCTGGAAATTGTAAATTCTGTAGTTTTGCCAAGATGAGTATCATTGAATGCCACTAAACCCCAATCAGACTAGTCATACCCAACGGGTCAATGGATTCGGCACCCGAACAGCGCCAAAATTGGTGAGCAGACAGCATCGTGTTGAGAGCAGAAAGCGGACAGAGCTGAGCTTTCCAGAAAACAAATACTCTCCCCTTCGTTGACTTCGACTCGAGGAAATTCTCACAATCCTCTCCTCCCTCTCATAATCCCAATTACCCCTACTCGCCTCTTCCTCTTCCATTCGTGTACCTTTTAATACCCTCAATCTTTGCCTAATACCGAGATAACAGCCTTCCAAAAGAGGCAACCGCTACTCCAAGTCCTTCAACAAGACACATTTACGAGCGTCAGGGGGATTAATTTCTACCCTCAGCTACCTGGCGACGAGTTTTTTCTTTTTGCTCGTCTCCATCGAGTAGTGATACCCCTTCAGAATGGCAACGGCAAAGACCAACGGCGCGAAGCCGCACACAAATGGCACCGTTCCTGTCTTGAACGGCTCAACATCATATGCAGCCAAACATCAGCTCGCAGACCACTTCATTGGTGGCAACAAGCTGGAGAATGCGCCGGCAGGTCCTGTCAAGGATTTTGTCGCGAACCACGATGGTCACACTGTCATCACAAACGTCCGTACCCTCACGAGAGAGACCCCTAGCTTCATTTTACTAACCACCAAATAGGTCCTGATTGCAAATAACGGAATCGCAGCAGTAAAGGAGATTCGATCAGTACGAAAATGGGCCTACGAGACTTTTGGCGACGAGCGGGCTATCCAATTTACGGTCATGGCTACACCTGAAGATTTGACGGCAAATGCAGACTATATCCGAATGGCTGATCAATATGTTGAGGTCCCGGGAGGAACGAACAACAACAATTATGCCAACGTGGAATTGATTGTAGATGTTGCTGAGCGTATGGACGTACATGCTGTTTGGGCAGGATGGTAGGGCACTCCTTTTTGTTCTGGCAGTAGAAGGGCCTTGCTAACTCGTTATAGGGGTCATGCCTCAGAAAATCCAAAACTACCAGAATCCTTAGCAGCTTCGCCGAAAAAGATCGTGTTTATTGGACCTCCTGGCTCAGCTATGCGATCGCTTGGAGACAAGATTTCATCTACGATTGTGGCACAGCACGCAAAGGTTCCCTGCATACCTTGGTCAGGAACTGGAGTTGACAAAGTGGATGTCAATGATGATGGCATTGTGACGGTTGATGACGAGGTCTACATGAAAGGCTGCGTTCAGTCATGGCAAGAAGGTCTTGAGAAAGCGAACAAAATTGGCTTCCCAGTTATGATTAAAGCTTCAGAGGGTGGTGGTGGAAAAGGTATACGAAAAGCCGATTCTGAAGAGGGTTTCGAAGCCCTCTACAAAGCAGCTGCCAGCGAAATTCCTGGATCCCCCATCTTCATTATGAAGCTTGCAGGAAACGCACGACATTTGGAGGTTCAACTGCTAGCGGATGAGTATGGAAACAACATTTCTCTGTTCGGCAGAGATTGTTCCGTTCAGCGAAGACATCAAAAGATTATCGAGGAGGCTCCAGTCACAATTGCGAAACCAGCAACATTTCAAGCAATGGAGAAGGCTGCAGTTCGTCTCGGTCGTCTTGTAGGCTACGTTTCAGCTGGTACCGTTGAATACCTATATTCTCACTCAGACGACAAGTTCTACTTTTTAGAACTGAATCCTAGATTGCAAGTTGAGCATCCGACAACTGAGATGGTCAGTGGTGTAAATTTGCCTGCTGCCCAACTTCAAATTGCGATGGGTCTGCCGTTACACCGGATTCGCGATATTAGATTACTCTACGGAGCGGACCCTTCAACTGCTAGCGAGATCGACTTCGATTTCTCGAAAGAGAACAGCTCTCAAACGCAAAGACGACCAGCTCCAAAAGGCCACACAACAGCTTGCCGTATCACTTCCGAAGATCCAGGAGAAGGCTTCAAGCCTTCGAGTGGTATGATGCACGAGCTGAACTTTAGGAGTAGTTCCAATGTATGGGGTTATTTCTCTGTAGGCACGGCTGGTGGTATCCACAGCTTCTCAGACAGTCAATTTGGTCACATTTTCGCTTATGGCGAGAATCGATCAGCGTCGCGAAAGCATATGGTTGTGGCTTTGAAGGAATTGAGTATTCGCGGTGATTTCAGAACCACCGTTGAGTACCTGATCAAGCTGTTGGAGACCCCTGCATTCGAGGGCAACACAATTACGACTGGATGGCTTGATGAGTTGATCTCCAACAAGTTGACTGCAGAGCGACCAGACCCAGTGTTGGCCGTTGTTTGCGGCGCTGTTTGCAAGGCGCACATCGCAAGTGAGGCATGCATCTCCGAGTACCAAAATAGCTTAGAAAAGGGGCAAGTTCCTGCTAAGGATATCCTCAAAACTGTCTTCCCGATCGATTTCATCTATGACGGCCATCGGTACAAATTCACCGCGACTCGATCCAGTCTGGACAGCTATCACCTGTTCATAAACGGCTCAAAATGCTCGGTCGGCGTTCGCGCTCTTAGCGACGGTGGTCTCCTTGTTCTTCTCGGCGGCCGAAGTCACAATGTTTACTGGAAGGAGGAAGTTGGTGCTACTCGCTTGAGTGTCGACAGCAAAACCTGCTTACTCGAGCAAGAGAATGACCCAACTCAACTCCGAACTCCATCGCCCGGAAAGTTGGTCAAATTCACAGTAGACAATGGATCCCATATCAAGGCTGGCCAACCTTTCGCCGAAGTCGAAGTCATGAAGATGTACATGCCTCTTCTTGCCCAAGAGGATGGGATTGTACAACTCATTAAACAGCCGGGAGCCACTCTTGAGGCCGGTGATATTCTGGGTATACTTGCTTTAGATGACCCATCTAGAGTCAAAAATGCTCAACAATTCATTGGTCATCTCCCAGATCTTGGACCACCACAAGTTGTGGGCACGAAACCGGCTCAACGTTTTGTTCTTCTTCACAACATTCTCAAGAATATTCTCGATGGTTTCGATAACCAGGTCATTATGGCTTCAACTCTCAGCGAATTGATTGATGTTCTCCGCGACACAGAGTTGCCATATGGAGAATGGAACGCTCAATTCTCTGCCCTTCACGCACGAATGCCCCAGCGCCTAGATGCAATCTTCACGCAGATTGTGGATCGTGCCAAGTCTCGTAAGGGGGACTTTCCTGCCAAAAACCTTAATAAGGCGCTTGTAAAATTCCTAGAGGAGAACGTCGAGCCATCAGATGTCGATCTTCTTAAAGCTGCACTTGCGCCTTTGATAGAGGTTCTCGATCGATATGCCGAGGGCCAGAAAGTCCACGAGTTTGATGTTTTCTCTGGTCTTCTTACCCAGTATGCTTCAGTCGAGAAACTGTTCTCGGGACGATCTTCTCGCGATGAAGAAGTGATCCTCAAGCTCAGAGATGAAAACAAGGATGATATTCTCAAGGTCATTCAAACGGTGCTTTCCCACAGCAAGATTGGTGCAAAGAACAATTTGGTCCTGGCTATTCTCGAGGAGTACAAACCAAACAAGCCAAATTCCGGCAATGTTGCAAAATACTTCCGCCCTGCACTGAAGATGCTCACCGAGTTGGAGTCACGACAATCAGCCAAGGTCTCTTTGAAAGCGCGTGAGGTCCTCATCCAATGTGCTATGCCATCTCTAGAAGAGCGTTCAGCTCAAATGGAACACATCCTCCGTTCTTCAGTTGTCGAATCGCGATATGGTGAGACCGGATGGGAGCATCGGGAACCAGATCTCGACATTCTCAAGGAAGTTGTTGACTCCAAATACACCGTCTTTGATGTCCTTCCAGTCTTCTTCGGACATCAGGACCCTTGGGTGTCCCTTGCCGCTCTCGAAGTTTACATCCGCCGAGCATACCGTGCTTATTCTCTTAAGAAGATTGAATATCACAACGACTCCACTGAACCGCCATTCATCGTATCATGGGACTTCGTCCTCCGCAAGGTTGGCGTGTCAGAATTCGGCATGCCTATACAGTCTTCTGCTCCATCTACACCAGCGACTCCTTCATATGAAAGTGGCAACCCATTCAAGAGGGTGAGCTCCATCAGCGACATGACTTACCTGGTCAACAAAGCCGACCATGAGCCTACCAGAAAGGGTGTCATTGTTCCAGTCCAATATTTGGATGAGGCCGAGGAGTATTTGATGCGAGCTCTTGAGGTCTTCCCCGTTGCAGGATCCAAGAAAGCTACTCCGTCAAACGGTCTAATGCCAGACTTAGGAGGGAAGCGGAAGACACCAGTTCCCAAAGTCTACAGCGACGACGAACTAACTGCTGTCGTCAATGTCGCCGTTCGTGATGCTGAAGGTGTTGATGATGCCGAAACTGTGGCCAGAATCAAGCTCATTGTGAACGATTACAAGGAGGAACTCCTAGCCCGTCGCATTCGCCGCATCACATTCATCTGTGGTCACAAGGACGGGTCATACCCTGGCTACTACACTTTCCGAGGCCCCGAGTACGAAGAAGACCAAAGTATCCGTAACAGCGAACCTGCTCTTTCCTTCCAGCTTGAGCTTGGAAGACTCTCCAAATTCAGGACGAAGCCTGTGTTCACTGAGAACCGGAATATCCACATTTACGAGGCTGTTGGCAAGGAAACCGAAAGTGACAAGAGATATTTCACACGTGCTGTCGTTCGTCCAGGACGGCTACGTGACGAGATCCCAACTGTCGAGTACCTTATATCAGAGTCAGACAGACTAATGAACGACATTCTGGATGCCCTGGAGATTATTGGTAACAACAATTCTGATCTCAACCACATCTTCATCAATTTCTCCCCCGTCTTCCCTCTTCAACCCCCTGAAGTGGAGAAGGCACTGGGTGGGTTCTTGGAGCGCTTCGGACGCCGCCTTTGGCGCCTACGTGTGACTGGCGCCGAGATTCGTATTGTCTGCACCGATGCCCAAACTGGCATGCCGTACCCACTTCGTGTTGTCATCACGAACACCTCAGGATATGTTATTCAAGTAGAGATGTATGTTGAACGGAAATCCGAGAAGGGAGGCGAGTGGGTTTTCCAAAGCATTGGCGGCACAACCAAGATTGGCTCGATGCACTTGAGACCTGTCAGCACACCATATCCAACAAAGGAGTGGCTGCAACCGAAGCGATACAAGGCTCATCTTATGGGAACTCAGTACGTATACGACTTCCCAGAGCTTTTCAGACAAGCGGTACAGAATAGTTGGGCCAAGGCTGTGAGCAAGCATCCATCTCTGGCTGATAAACAACCTCCTATTGGCGAATGCACGGATTGTAGCGAGCTGGTTCTGGACGATCAGGACAATATCGCTGAAGTCTTCCGTGAGCCTGGTACCAACACTCATGGCATGGTCGGTTGGATCGTTACTGCAAGAACACCAGAGTATCCTCGTGGCCGAAAGTTCGTCATTGTCGCCAACGATATCACATTCAAGATTGGTAGTTTCGGACCTAAGGAAGATCAATTCTTTCACAAGTGCACGGAACTCGCAAGAAAGCACGGAATCCCTCGTATATACCTGTCTGCCAACTCAGGTGCTCGTATTGGTATGGCGGATGAGCTTATTCCTCACTTTAGTGTGGCATGGAATGACCCTAACAGGCAAGAGGCTGGTTTCAAGTATCTTTACTTGACTGCTGAGGCTAAAGCTCGTTTTGAGGACGGCAAGGCGAAAGATGTCATTACTGAGCAGATCACTGAAGATGGCGAGACGCGACACAAGATCACCGCCATCATCGGTGCCGAAGATGGCCTGGGTGTTGAGTGTCTGAAGGGCTCAGGTTTGATCGCAGGTGCTACCAGCAGAGCCTACGAGGATATCTTCACAATCACTTTGGTCACTTGCCGCTCTGTCGGTATTGGTGCCTACCTGGTTCGTCTTGGCCAACGTGCGATTCAGATCGAAGGTCAACCAATCATCCTGACTGGTGCTCCTGCCCTGAATAAGCTGCTTGGTCGTGAAGTCTATACATCCAATCTGCAACTTGGTGGCACTCAAATCATGTATAGAAATGGTGTCTCTCACATGACCGCCAACGATGATTTTGAAGGTGTTTCAAAGATCATTGAGTGGTTGGCGTATGTGCCAGATAAGCGCAACAACCCACTTCCAATTGGACCCGCAATCGATTCTTGGGACCGAGACATTGTATACATGCCACCACCCAAGGCACCATACGACGTAAGGAATCTCATTGCTGGTAAGGACGATGACGAAGGATTCATGTCTGGTCTTTTTGATAAGGACTCATTCGTTGAATCATTGGGCGGCTGGGCAAAGACTGTTGTCGTAGGTCGTGCTCGTCTAGGTGGTATCCCAATGGGTGTGATTGCCGTCGAGACTCGATCAGTGGAGAACATCACCCCTGCTGATCCAGCCAACCCAGACTCGACGGAACAGATTTCCAACGAGGCTGGTGGTGTCTGGTACCCCAACTCGGCTTTCAAGACTGCGCAAGCTATCAAGGACTTCAACAATGGTGAGCAACTGCCATTGATGATCTTGGCAAACTGGAGAGGTTTCTCTGGTGGGCAGCGCGATATGTACAACGAGGTTCTCAAATACGGATCCTACATTGTCGACGCTCTCTGCAAGTACGAGCAGCCAGTCTTCGTCTACATCCCACCTTTCGGAGAATTGCGCGGTGGTTCATGGGTAAGTTTTCTCCCTCGCACAATTAACACCTAAACTAACATACTCAGGTCGTTGTCGACCCAACCATCAACCCAGATTATATGGAAATGTACGCCGATGAAGAATCCCGTGGCGGCGTCTTGGAACCCGAAGGAATAGTAAACATCAAATACCGTCGTGAAAAGCAACTCGAAACCATGTCCCGCCTAGACCCTGAATACGGAGCCCTTCGCAAACAACTTGCCGACAAGACCCTCACCCCAAACCAAATGTCAGCCATTAAGATGAAAGTCACACAACGCGAACACCTTCTCTTGCCAGTTTACATGCAAATCTCACTGCAGTTCGCAGACCTTCACGACCGAGCTGGCCGTATGAAGGCCAAGGGTGTTATCCGACAGAGTCTGCAGTGGCGCGAGGCGAGACGTTTCTTTTACTGGCGCGTACGCCGCCGTGTCAATGAGGAGTATATCATGAAACGCATGTCTTTATCTTCTAAGAACCCACTTGCTTCCCGGGCCCGCCATATGGACACGCTGGCTGCTTGGACCGGCATTCCAAACTTCTTGAATGCGGATCGCGAGGTTGCCATGTGGTATGAGGAGAATCGGAAGGTGGTTCATGAGAAGGTGGAGGCGCTCAAGACGGAGGGCGTTGCGTTTGATGTTGCTGCTCTGTTGAGAGGGAACAGCAAGGGTGGCTTGAAGGGCGTGCAGCAGGTGCTTAGCATGTTGCCTGCTGAGGAGCGGGAGGCGGCATTGAAATTCTTGAGCTCTACGTAGACGGGATGATATGGGGTGAAATAGAGTGCGGACCAGAGCACTATGTATATTTCAAGCTTGCAACTCTGGCTTTTGTTTTTGTATAGGCGTTTATTACTGTTATTTTTAGATGTATACATTTGATTTCTTCATTAGTAACCATTTGCTCTGCTTGCCTTAGTGAATATCTAGACAGTTTTTATTATCTCAAATTTGCCCGGTATTAGTGAATTTAAGCATTAATGCCTTATTATGTGCTATGCCTTCTGCAGAAGAGGCCACAGTTATATGGCCTTCACGCAATAAGAAATACACCCCGGGGTAATATCGTCCAGTTCGCTACATAAGAGGACTTCAAAGGTTCGATCCGGGTGAACGATATCGGCACGGCAGGGACGAATAATCTGGTCTGAGTGTTCACAAATGGAAATTTTAGCTGCGTGTTACTAAAGTTGGTAGGCAAAAAAGAGGCTTTTAAAGGTGTCGCAGGAGGAAATATTATTATGAGCGCAGGCTTATTCATGACAGCATAAAAGGTAGATGCAGGTAGGTGTGCGTGTGTGTGCTCTGCTATGCTATGGCAAAGGCTGGATGGTATAGCATAGCGAAGCCGCTTTGGCATAGGGTATCGGTTTATGGTAGATAAATAGATAGATAATAAACGTGTTGGATAGGTAATGACTGCCCATGACAGAGCATAAGAACTTAAGTAAGCGGACTTGGATACCTGAAGCGTGTTTCTTGTGATAAGCTTTATTATGGACGTATTGTTTCGAGTAGAAAAGGTGGTCTTGGGATGGTAGATGTTGCAGGTTACAGCTAGCGCGGATGAAATTAGTAGAGATCAACTGTAATATGCAGCTTAATCATAATAATAGCGTATATAAAAGTCGGTGTTCTAATAGCATGCTTTGAATATTTATTTTGCAGATCTCTATATAATTTCAAGCTGATCCATGAGGAATAATAGCCCTGAAGCAAGTATAAGGAGAAACTTCTCGCTAAGAAATGTAAGGATCTCGAGGTTTTAACCTCACCTCTATTCACTTTCACAACAAATAGTATTGCGCTGCAAGTATTAAATGTTGACTTGATAAATATAAATGAAGATGGTAAAAGGTCTGATATTTGAAAAGATGGCGCCGAGAACAAGCCCGCTTTGCGCCTAACTAATATGGTATATATGTTGCAATTCACTTCCGCTCGCACCTCTATCCTTAACTCAGCCCCGCGACTTGGTGAATGTGAAAACACAAGGCGGCCGCTTCTTGTTAGCAATAACGCGAAGTGTAATAAAAATATAGGTTCCGTAAGTACCTTGGGAAGCATAAAGGGGTATATAAGAAACACACGCGTGCTTTTGAAAGTCGTGACTTTGATGAGAGGATTTCAAGAACACGGAGGAAACTCGAAGGAGTACACTAGCACCAAAACCTGCGTGTCTTATTGAAATAGCAACGTAGAAGCAAAGTGTCAATATTATAACACTAAAAGAAAGACAGATCTCCTCTTCTCTTCACCTTCCGTAACGTGCCATTCCCAGTCTTGGGTAGCACTTACCCCCGTGCTACTCGGCATAGCATGGCTCAACTCGGCCTTTGGAATGTCCATCCCACGCCGTATTTCCTTTCAAGAACCCATAGAACTCTCTGCACCACACACCCAAACCCCCTACACAATTTCATATATGACACATCTCAAAACCGCGACCCGAGTCGACCCCTTTTCCATCCCGTTTCCCCACACCGAAGGTTTTCAAATACAAGAACGAAACAATAAGTTCGATGGGTACCATACCCTTATGTCGTTCATGGATTATTATGCTGAATTAGTCGCTCGATATCACATAGGCTGATGCCCGGATATCTGATTGATGACTCTGGTTAAGGACGTCTGATTTAGTTTCCTTGAATTCACGTAACGGTAAGAGTATTTGTGTAGTTGCTTGTCCTATATGAACGTTCGCCTTATGGACCCTGAAGTTGCTCAGAAAAGGCGATCGAATCAAGGATTTCTCGACTTCTTGTCCTTTGAGATGTGATGTGTTGTCGGCCGACGCGCCGATCTCCCATCTATCATGTAGGACAACCTACAGATACACTGCGTACACCTAATCAGTACAAGATCGACTTTGACGCTCGCCACGGCGTTGGATCTTTTCAGACTTGTTCCTTTGATAGCCGTTGCACCCCACCATTACACGATGGAAAGCCGCAGTGTATTTCACAGCAGGAGAAAGGTTGCACGTGTAAGCCACATGATAGCTCTTGTCCTCATCTACTATATCTCCGTATTCTGCCTTTCAAGTGTGCTTATGCATATGCATATTTTCCCTCTCTCCTGGCTAGGATGTTGGCTTGAATCGGCTTGGTTTGGCTTGACTTGGCTGTGAAGAGGATGTTAGCATTCGCATTTTGACTGCATCATGCTCACTGCATCGAGTTCTCCACAATCAAGAATGCGGGGAAAGCTGTGCTACTCACAGCAAGCCAGCCCCTCCTCAAACCGCCTTTTGGTTCAACCCCCAGCCCGTCTCGAACGATGTTTACTATAGTTTGTGCCTTTCTCTCCTTTTCGAAAAGCTTGACGCGCATATAATAAATATATCCAACCACGGAAACCCCTGTAAAAACCTGCATTCTTTTACATGCAGATACTCACTCAACCCCTCATTCGCTTCAAGCTCAAAACGGATGCATCTAGCCGTCAATACATATATCCATCAACCATCTTTTCTCCGTAATCATGAGAATATATTACTTCATATACACAAGCATACCATTTCCCACCCATCCATGCAATGCAATACCATCTCAAAACCTCTGCCCCCTCCCTGCTCACCCACCGCGAAGGAATTCTCCATCCTCCATCCGAAGCACACTGCACCGCACTGTTTCGAACCGGCTGCGTCTCATCGCTCGCACGCGCTGAAGAGGGGTGTATCGCCGTTGGTAGCGCATCTCAACAAAAAAAAAGATTATACGGAGTACTGTAGAGTATGGTGGGGTGGGCCGTGCAGGGGACACCTACAGTAGCTACCTCGCTACTTAGTTGCGCGCGCCGCACCGCATTGCATAGATTACCTAGTTTATTATAATACTACCTATACGTACCGGTAGTCCGTACGTAGTAAGGTAGTTTAGGAGACAACTACATTATTAATCAAGGTATAGGGTTGAAAAATCAAACCAAATCAAATGTTCTGGGGTCCTTGAGCTGATTAATACTACGGAGTATACTCCGTAGATAGGGGCAAACTCAATACGGTAGAAATGGCGTTGCGATGTCGGGTAGGGCTTGCCTTGCGCTTGCTCACCGCTGCTCTGTTTTCCTCTCTCGTCTTTTTCCTTCTCGAGAGGGCAGATAAGTTCAGATAAGGAAGTAAGGCATGTCATGTTATGTAATGTTATGTCTTTAGAGGAAGAAGGTTATGCGGAGTAATACTCCGTAGGATTGTTGTTATTATTAGATCTATGCAGAGTAGATACAAAGTTTGGATATAATATAATTTAATCGCGTCCCTTGACTTTCAATATGGTGGTCCAAGCATTTCCCCACACTTGGACTACCACGCCCGTAGGGCAGAGACACGATTAATAGACGAAATATTCCCTGCACTGCACTTGAATCATAAAGCTCTACCTAGGTGGGCAAAGCAAGTCTAGTCCTTTTCCTTATTTACTGTACGATAGCCAGCGCTGAATTCGTTGAATAATCATGCACCGTGTTCATGACACAAATCCTAACTGCATGTATACCAAAGTTTAGTTCCCTTGAAATAGAAACCTTACCTTACTTTGCCGCGCCTCTCACTAGATTAATGCGATATAGCGTCTACTTGCTGGGACCTCCATCCCATCAAGTACCTTAATATCGCCTTTCCCAAACCCCCGAGTAGGATTTCCCTCCTAGTCCTACACTACAGCACCAAGCAAAATCCTCCCTCCGCAATAATCAGTAGTAGTTTGTGGTTTTAATAAAACGACCACTTCTACCCCCGCATTGCTAGGTTCGCGGAAGATTGATACTAGCTGTGCGATTGATGGAGATTGCTTGCGAGTCAGTGAGTGAGTATCTCACAAGTGCGGGGAAACCTTATTATGCGCCTCAGCTCGTTGAAAAGGGGTTAAGCCAAAGGGAGGGATTTGGGGTTTGGGGCAAGCGTGAAATATATATTGTGTCTGGAAAGCGGGATGGTAGAGGGGTAGGTGTGTAGGTATCGCGACTTCGCGTACCTCGATGTGCGATGTCAATGTTCATGTTGATTCTGTGAGGTTCTTTGTACTTACTATACCACGGCGCGGATATTGCGTGGGGTGCGTGAGATGGGATAGATGGGATGACATTGGAGTCTTGTGAGGGGAGTGGCGACGTCGTATGAGTATGATATGATATGCCTTTGCCTCGACTGACATATATGCCTATGCCTTGCCCTGCCGAACATTCCGTTTGCTTGCGTTCCCCGTTCCGGTAATCATGGAAGATAAAGATTACGGAGTGGGCCGGGAGTAGAGAACGCGTGGTCCCGGGATATCGGGTCCTTCGAATTGACGATCGGAGAATGTACAGTTCAGTTCAACGGGTCTTGGAGGACCCCGAACCCGAGTTTCAGTACTTTGATTTCGTGGTGGGTGGTCTGATGGGATGTTTGTTCGAAAGCCCCACCCCGCCGCCACACTTGCATGGCTTCATACGCTAAGTCACAGAGTGGAAAGAAACGGATAGATAGGTAGATAGATAGATATGCTTTTATTCCCGATCCTTCCCTTCCCTTCCTCATCTTCTCCCATTGCTACATCGGAACTTGGAGAAAAGGTGGGTTGACCGAAGGAGTCGTGGTCTGATTGAAAATGTAGAGGTGGCGTTTCAACAAAGGCCAGGGTGACACAGTTGAATTCAACAAGGAAGGATTGCGCGAGACTGTGGCTTGACAAGTGTACTTCGCCCCGTGCAGGGTAATAATGCCAGGGGTGGTTTCCTGTGACAGCTCCCCTGGGGTTATTTTCGCTCCGGAAGAAGTA